GAATAGATTTCTTAAAGATGGCAAACCCCTCCTGCTGATCTCTGGGGATGTGCATTATTTTCGCACTGCAAAGTTTTACTGGCAGGACCGGTTTTTGAAAATGAAACATGCTGGATTATATAATGATAAAAGCTACCTATAAGTTTACAGGTTCTCCCCTCCCTGTTAATTTGTTAGGTTATTCCTTTTCTAGGGTTACGGAGAGAGGTGACAGATTGGGATGGACGGGTCAGATGTTTTTATCCTTCAGGAAGCTCTGTCATAATTAAGATCAGCATAAAAAATCACTATATTATCACTGCTTTATGAAACAAATGGGTGATGAGAATTAGGATAAGATCGCATAAGAATGTGGTTGATACTTTAACAACTTCTCCCAACTACCTCCTTAGGAAATGCATAGGGACAAATGAGAATTTGAATTTTGATATAGGGGTCTAACAGTTAGGGAACAATGATACATGGTAGGTCATGCACGAGCACGTTAAAAGCAAGAGAAAATACATTTTAGGAGAATCAATCACAATACAGTATAATCTACACAAGTAATTGGGATTTTATGCTTTCTGTAAAATAGTATTTGAGAAAAATATATATTGTTTGGCTGATTTGATAGTTATTAATTGTTGAAGGTATGTTGCCTGGAACATGCATGAAGCAAAGGAAGGACAGTATGACTTTAATGGTGATAATGACTTGATTGCTTTTATCCAGATGGCAAATTCTGCAGGATTACTGGTGTTAGTTAGAGCAGGTGACTGGACTTAAAAAGAAAATTGGATTATTATACGTTTCTGGGAAACTGCCCACCTACCCCTCCCCTGAGCCAACATTTTGCCCCAGGTGAGAAGTAAGTGTTAATGTTGGCTTAATTAGGGGAGGGGGAAGGTGGGCAGTTTCCCAGAAATGTATGGTGATCCGAATTGGATCAATAATGTTTTGTGGCTACAATAATTTTAAAATAATCGTAGTGTAGTACATGTATATTGTATAGTTAAGATGAATGCACCTTTATTTTAGCTCCAAAGCAAAGTGATTACATTTTTCAGATAAAAAAGCATTATTTTTTAATACAAATAAGAATTATTTAAAACTAGTTGTTCTGCCATGTGTTATATATTTTCCAATCTTTCTACACACTTTGTTTGTTTTCATGAGTTGCAAGGTTTTCATGAAGAAACTGACTTAATGACAATGACAATTACCGGTATGTGCACAGGGGAAGTTATTAAGCGTATGACTTGGTGAGGAAATGTCAACTTGCTAATTAGAACCAGTTCTCAAAATCTTTCCTATTTTCAGTGGCATCAGCTGCCTCAAAAATCTGTTTCATGAATCTGTCAAACTAAGAAAGTTTTTTTGGAACCCAAAACTTTTGGAAGGGTGTTAGTTTACTCATGGCTCATAGCCAGCACTATCTTGCTTTTATTCTGAAGAGAATTAACAGCTCGTTGAGTCAGACATCTCTCTCAGGAGTGTGCAACTCAAGGAGATGGCTGAAATTTAGGTTTATAAGCTTATGACATGAAGTGTCAAGATGGTGTAGGTGCATAAACTACGAACACATATTTTATTAAACCAGCTTCTTTCTTACACAGGTCCTTACATCTGTGGCGAGTGGGATTTGGTGAGCCTCTTTTAGCTATTAAATATATTTATACAGTAAACAATAAAATTGTCATACCTCCATTGAATAGTGGCAACTGTTGGGGAAGAAACATTAGAAGCCATTTAATAAAAATTGAGCTGTTCAATAGGAGGCCACTTAACAAAGGAGTAACATCAATAATTTTCAACCTGACAATATCAAAATGTAAGAGTTTATGAGGATTAATGTAATAATTCCCTAAGGAAAAATGATTGGTTTGATCTTTTTTAACAAATTCTCTCAACTTATCCTATATGTACGGCGATAAGTGTGGAGAATTAATGTATGTGGATATTGGGACTTAGAGGTTGATGTTGGGCTGACTATTATAAGGATTCAGGGCGGAAAAACGTAATGAGCATGCGTGAACTTTTTTGCCCAGATCCCCTGGCCGGGTTTGAAAAAATGGCGGGATTTCAAATATTTTATTGCCTAAAAATAAGATGTTTCCACTCATAACCTGGAAAGAACAGGCAATTTGTCTTCAAAAGTTGCAAGCTGTGGTTATAACCTTGTCGTTACTTAATTTTCTCGAAGAATACCTCATAGTAAAACGGACTTTAACGACATCAATTTCCTTGCGTTGTACTGGAAATGTGCATGCGTAGGTCCGATTTTTTTCAAGATGCATTCACAAAATGTGTTCATATAAGGAAGTTCCTGGATATATAAGGTCCGGAGCTCCACCGTGGACACAAAAACAACATATCTTTGGACAGTGATTTGCCCAAAAAAATTAACGCTTGCCCAAAATGTGTTTGAAGGCACTGAACTTGTCGCACTCGAGCTGATATTTTAAAACCCTCGCTCGATCGGACACTCGTAGTTTCGCAGATAACTAAAATATAAACAAAATGCTCAATGTAGAAGTTATTGCGTTGATATGCGGGCAGAAAAAAGGTCAATCTTCATCTAGTAAAATCTTCCCAAAAATCGGTTTGAACTATAGTTTATTTTTAAACTTGATCGTTTCGCGATTAAATATAAATTGTGCTTTGTGTTGTCAAGTTGAAAATACATAACATCTGTCAAAAACCTACACGTAAGTAGGATTTCCTTCAAACAAAGTTAAAATTACATTACTGCAAAAACTTCTTGCTGACAATGAAGAAATGAATTTTTTGTACGAAAACAACCTACCTAAAGATCTTAAAAGCAAAAGATCAGTTGCAGTGAGCTTCGCAGCTAAACCATGATTCACCATGTAGCTCTTCTCCTCGCTTTAATAACTCAGTGAATAACTGGTCCATGTGAGGGTCTTCATTCAAGCAAATTAAACTCAGCCAATCGTTACAAAATTCAGAAAACTGCACATAAGGGTATTTGTTTTGCTCGCTTCAGACAAATCCAGCTCCAGCAATTCAGTGTTACGGGCAGAGTCAATTGTTTCGAAGTGACTGCCGGCAGTTGTCCTCTACTTCACAGCGAGTGAAATGGAAAATTTGCGTACAGAAAGTTATTTCTTATAAAGAACAGAAACTTTCACAGTGCGGTGGAAAACAAAACTATGTAATTAAAAGTGAAGAAAACTCTGACTACTTATAGTATTTGAGCAACAGAAAAATGATTCTTTTCTTCTAGAGTAAGTTTACTGGCCTTCTACCGGTATTTCCGAGAAAGTTTTACGGCGCACAAAATGGTTCTTTGACTGAAGAGAAGGATAAAGCTGGTTCTACAAAGGGAATAAATCTGGGCATGTGAAAAAGTATTTACTAATTTAAAAAAAGAGTGGGTTTTAATTCAGCCCGGCGAAAGAAGGCGAAATCAACTCACAAATAAATCGAATGAACAATCAAAAAAATACTCGCCTCTTTGGAAATGTTCAAAACTCTTTATTCCACCTCAGACTGACGGAATGATCCGTTTTTCCTTTAACATTGGTTGTTCCGAGTCCAAAGTAATTTTCAAGTGACGAAAAACAAAAACCACACAAAAGTAAAAAGTCTTTTCGAGGAGCAAACGTTCACACCTTGTGCATTTCATTCAGTCTTAGTCAGAACTCTCTCAGTGACAAACAAACAAACAAACTGTACTGTACAGTCAACACACAGAAAAGCCCGCCTTGAGCCTGCGATAAAGGATGCGCAGAAGCTTGCGCAGAACGTTTTTCCGCCCTGAATTATAAGGAAGGCAAAGCTTCTAACGCAATGTAAAAAGGAGACACTAGGACCCACTTGGGACTTTTTTCTTTAAGGCGTCCTTCAATAATTATAGGGGTTGTGTAAGACGACATCCAAAACTTTCCAAGAAGTTATTACATCTATGTACATAATTATTTCATGATATTTATTACTGTACATATATTCTTAGGGTGGACTTCCAGCATGGTTGCTCAAGAACTACACAACAGCCAAGTTTAGGTCATCAACAGACAAAAGTAAGAAAGATATAGATATTTAACATTGTATGCAATGTGTAGGAAAAAATGTCTTAAAAGGTGAAAAATAGTGATAAGCACCCAATCTTCATGTATTTGAGTTAACTTTGAAAAGATGACAGTTTGTGGAAAATATGGGTGAATATTGTGTAAGAAAGAGACTCAGCAGCAACTGAATCAAATAAGAGGCAATCTGAATAAATGTGTTTATCCTTGTGCAGATTATATTGCTGCAGTAGATCGATGGATGGGAGTCCTTCTCCCAAAGCTGAAACCACTTTTGTATGCTAATGGAGGTCCTGTCATTGCTGTTCAGGTACAATAGATTAAGGCAGAATCCATCAGGAAATTGAGTATTTTCAATTTTGAGTCGGACAAAAACCTTGTACCAGAATAATTCAAACAACGGCATGCTTTTTTACATTTTTCAGGGGCTATAGATATTAAACAATTATTGGATGAGGTTGAGCATGATATCATGAATTATCAAAACCGAGGTCTGTGTTATCTGCCGAAGCCGAAGGCTGAGGCAGATAATACAGACACAAGGTTTTGATAATTCATGATATCATGCGAAAACCGAATTCAATAATTGTTTTATTATACATTTTTTAAACAATAGGCAAAAGAAGACTGATTCAGCCATTCTGTTTCTGAGGAGAACACTCCAAGGGGCTTGGTAACCAGGCAGACGTTGAACTTGACATGATAAATGCAATATCTGCAGCAGATATTGCATCTATCATGTCAAGTTCACAAGCTATTGTGAATTGATTGAATGCTCTCGACCAGTCAGATTTTTCATAGTGAGTGATGTATAATAAAATTAGTTATCCGTAATAACACCAAAGACTATTTCTCAAGCGAGCCCGATAAAATAAAATTACGTCAAATTTCACAAGAATTGTGAAAACACGGGTAAACTTATGAAACTTTCATGAGTAAGATGTCATTTTGTGAAATTTGACATTTATTTTCTCTGGCTCTCATAAGAAATAGACTTTGGTGTTATTGCAGATAACTAATTGCATCTATGGCCCTTGAAAAAAGTAAAAAAGAATGCGAAATTGTTTAAATAAATAAATAATTATTCTGGTACAAGGTTTTTGTCCACTGAAAATTAAAATTACTCAATTTCTGGATGTATTCCATCTTAGACTGTAAACTGCCATACATAAATAACAAGTTCCCCACTTACATGTATAAGCCCGCTCTCCCCCAACACCCCGTTCCCCCAGGTACAGTATAAGCCTATCAACCTGAAAACACAACAATACATGTACATCCAATACACTTGACACTTCATGTCATAAGCTTCCCCCTTTCCCACTCCCCCCCAGTTATATAGTGTAAGCCCTGGAGCCTCTACATTGTAGTTTGTGTTGAAGGTTAACTTAAAACTGGCCAATGCAAAACGCATTCTGATCAGCACCGCTATATAGCTTGTTTTGTTGACCTTTTTCTATTCTGGTTATCATAAACCTCCTTGGATAAAAGCCATCCATTTACAATGTATAAGCCCTCCTAGAAAACCCCATACAAAGATGTATAAGGTCATGGCTCAGGGGCATAGCCAGCTTTTCGACTAGTTGTAGGCCTGGCTGACTTCATTTCCAGGTTAAAAAATTTTAACCTGAATTTAATTTTGACCTACAAAATGTACAACTGTATACACAGCACTTATGTAAAGCAGGCTTTCAATCTAAATACATGTTGGTTTTCTCAAAATTTCAATTACTGTCAGTATTACAGTAGTTTTTAATATACGTAGCACCCTGATGAGTTGACCATTTTTATCAAAATAAAGCTATTCAAACATTCATTCATTTATAGATTCCCTGGAAAATGGTGCCATCAATTGCGCCGCTACAGTGTAACTTCCCCATAATAACCTACCTTTCTCCAATGGCCACTTAACACTGTACCCAAGTGGCCGTAGAGTAAATAGCTTACCATTTACGGCGGGTTATAAGCACCAGGGGCGTAGCTAGCCCATAGACCTGTAGGCCCGGGCCTACAAATTTTACTCAGTTATAAATTTAATTAGGCATTGTTGGGATGAGCTAAAAAGCTGAAAAGCTCAAAGTCTTGGTGAGGTCAGTGTGTACAAATGTAGGTTAATTCTCAATTAAATCCTTGGTCCCCTGCATGTAGGTTCAGTAAAAAAATATGACCTAAATATAATTTTGACTTGTAACATATACACTGTCTAAGATCTTCAGAATAATTTTGTTTGTATAGCCAGCCCTGAAGACTGGGAAGGGGTATGGGAAAACATTGTTTTGCTGCATTCAAAGCAAGCTGATGCAAGCACAATCAAAGCATGATTGTCAATATTTTTAAAGAGAAAAACAAAATGTTCAGAAAAAAAAGTTATTGTTAACATTACAAAGGAACTCATTGAGCAATTAATGCATTGGTCCCTAAGTGGTTTCAACAAGTTGCAAGAATGCATCATTATTGTGATTTTATTTGTTAATTAAGCAGGTTATATAAGACGGCTTGATAGCTGATGTAGATCTTCGACAGCAATCCACACACTGATGCCCACATGTTTTAAGGTAGGCAACAAGTTGCAGCAACAATTCACGGCAACAGATCACTCAGTATGTACAGGTCTGGTGACTAGTTGCAGCAACATGTACATGTTGAGGTGACACATCGCAGTGACAAATTGCTTCGTGTGTACTGGAGAAATTTTGTAAAAATATTTGTCTCTGCAACAGAATTCTGTTGCCTCCCCAAGTCGCACAAATTCTGTCTAATTTGATTTTTTGCAACATGTTGCTGCGACAAAATTCATGATATGCAGAGATAATGATTTTCACAAAAATTCTCCAGTACACACGAAGCGATTTGTCGCTGCGACGTGTTGTCGTGACATGTTGCTGCAACTTGTTTTTTTTTTTTTTTTTTTTTTTTTTTTGCTTTACTTAACCCAATAATTACAATATTGAACACTGCTTACACTGCTTACATTATTTACAACATTCATACCATACTTACAATACTGACAATACTTATTGCTTACATTGCTAACAATACTACTGTTTTCAAACATTATTACATTTCGTATGCTTCAAGTACACAGTTGCATCGGAAGAAACTTATTTAAGGATAGTTGGCGTTATTGAGGCAGGATAAGCTACGGATGAAAGACATAGAGAATATCAGGGGGCGTTGGGAATAGCGCCATGGTAGAAACGATAGTTTCTACGTGATGTCGTGTAGGAATGACCATTGTTTGGGCAGAACATTGTTTGCTTCTGCTTGTGCTTGTATGTTGTAAATTGTCTTTAGGTGTTTGAGAAATCCTTGCAATAGAGGTATAGCTTCTTTTGTTTTGCAGAGCCAGATATAGTGCCTGGCAATAAGAAAACAAAAGTTGATCTGGCGTTGAAGTTTAGAAGAGTCTGATCTCAGGCCTAGTGAAACAGTCATGTCTGCAGAGTAACTATCGGGAATAATTTGGCAAAGTTTTAATCGCGTTATGATGCTCTCCCAGAAGAGCGCCGTTTTGGGGCAGGACCAGAAAAGGTGTACGAGTTTTTCTGGTTCTTTTTTTAAAAAAGGAGCAGTTGGAGTTTTCTTTTACTCTTATCTTAGTTAAGAAAGCGTTTGTTGGTATTCTTCTGTGCAGCAATTTAAATTGAAATTCCCTGAGTTTTATGCTTTTTGTGATTTTATGAGCTAGCTGGTAGGTCGCACCCCACGTTATTTCGTTTTGACCTAAGTTGCAGTCTTGATTCCATTTTGCTGGCTTGTAGTAGGGGGGGCACTTTTCTTTGTAATTAATTTGTCATACACCAACTTGCTTGCTTTTTGGGCTTTCATTAGTTTTGTCGAAAAGCTTTCGTAACTATTACCTTCGTTTGTGTGGTCACCTTGGTTGAATGTGTTGCATAGCTTTTTAAGAGCAGAAATTATTCCACAGTATGCCAAGGGTTGGACCTTGATGTCGTATTTGTTTAAAAGTTCTGGTGGAGTGAGGAATTTTCCTTCTCTGTTCCTTAAGTGCTTAACTTTTGTGATGCCTTTACTTATTTTAATTTCCTCTTGGTTAACGTGTATTCCTCTGATATTGCTGTTTCTTTTAAAAGCCTTGGCTAAGACTTCAACTGAAAGAACAAATAGATATGGAGACAACGGGCACCCCTGCCTGACCCCTCTTTCAATTTTAAAGAAATTGCTTGTCCAGCCGTTGTTTAAGAAGCAGCTCTCTATGTTGCTGTAAAGGCATTTGACCCAGTTTACAACACTTGGGCCGAAACCGAAGTATTGAAGAGAATTTATGATAAAAGGCCATTCAATCGTGTCAAAAGCCTTTTCGAAATCAAGAAATAATAATAGCCCTGGGATATTTTTTTCTTTGGTAAAACGAATAACATAGTCTATTAATCGTATGTTCTCGCCAATAAACAGTAAACCTTAGGTTGTCGTTGTCTCCAAGTGTACCTTTTGTCATCTGGATTGTGAATTCTCCAGACATCGAGAAGATCTAGGTTCTCTGAAATTTCTTGAACGGTCTTCAAGCTATTTTGGTGAGTTTTGGCAATGCCACCTTTTTTGTCATTTTCGATGTTAAGAACAAGGTTGAAGTCACCGCCAATTATTATGTCTTCACATTTAAAATTTAAAAGATGATCGTAAAAGTTTTGAAAGAATGAAGGTTTATCCTCGTTGGGAGCATAGATGTTAGCGAGGGTCAAAAGCTTTTCGTTAGCTTTTAAGTCACAGATAATAAATCTCCTGCAGGGTCGGTGTAAAGTCTTTGGAGCTGAAGGTTAAAATTATTGTTAAAAAGAATACATACCCCTGCTTTGTTGCTTTCAAAAGAGGTGAAGTAAGCTTGATAGCCCCATTCTGCTTTCCACAAGTGATTTGTTTTTTATACAGTGTACTTCTTGGAGCATGCATATTGATGGCCTTTTGGCGCGAAGCCAATTAAATACTTCTCTTCTTTTAGCGCCATCCCTAAGTCCCCTGACATTCAATGAAGTTATTTTCAAAGTCACGATTTGTTCAAGTCTTTTGTAATAAACGTTGTCTCGACGGGAAAAAAAAACATGTGCGCCTCAATAAAGGATTTGCATTCTTTCTATTAGGTGTAAAATGATTGATGCAAAAGGTACTCGATATTTTAAACAAATAATGAAGACTAAAACGTGCATATAATATTAGACTGAAGCAAATGATCACAAAAGGTAAATTAAACAAAATAACACTTTGAATAAATAAAAAAGAGTAGCGCAAAAGCAAAAAACAGAGCATAGACAAATTTGTAGTTAGTAAAATTAAATTACTTTGGCAGCGAGAAATTTGAATGGTTGATAAGACGTCCCTCTCCAGACTTAACGTAGATTATTTTGCCTGTTCAGTTTATAATTGATCTAAGTCCTCTTCGGAAAAAATTCTAACAGGGGAGCCATAGGGTGATGTCTTAACAAAAATCTTACCATCCAAAGACCAAACACTGAGTAGAGTACCCTCTTGTCTTCTCTTGTTCGCTTCTTTCATGATTCTACGCCTATAAGCCGTGAGGTTCTCGTTTATAAAAATACGTTGTCGTTCCTGTGCATTTGAAGGGTAGCTGGGAAATAGATCTTTGATTTTGACATCCTTTAGTTTGGTGCGTTCTTTGTAAAGTTTCGATTTCACTTTATGATTGCAAAATTTCACTATAATGGATTTGCCCCGATTCAGCTTGTGTGAAATCTCTATTTCTTCAGGCTCTGTGGTGATATTTAGGGCTTCAGCAACCTTGATGACCGCGGCCTCCGTACTGGGATACGCATCTTCTGGAATTCCATGGATTTCCAGCGAGTTCTTCCGAGTGTATTGTTCCAAATCATCATGGTGTTCCCACAGTCGATCGGATTCTTCTTTTTGCTTTTCTAGATTCTCCTTTGTTGTTTTAAGCTCGTTCCTTGTTGAGGCTAGCATGTGTTTTAATTCTTTGTATTCGTCCTTGGTCTTTTGCAAGGACTCTTTCAAATCTTTAAGCTCCTTCTCGTAGAAGTTGGCAGATTCTTTTAATTCTTCGATTTCCTTCTTCAGCGTTCGATTTTCGCTAAGAACTGCAGCTATTTGGATTTGTATGTCGACCAGTAGAGCCTTGATTTCAAGAAGGCTAGGCTCTTCTTGTTCCTTGCCCGCTTCAATCGATTCTTCAACATCAATGTTTTCCTCGGCCGCCATGTTGGATTTCTTCGGATTTCTTGGTTCGTCTTCGGTTGAGCCACGATCACCTCTTTTATTCTTTCTGGGAGGCATTTACATTGAAGAAGGTAGATTACATCGTCAGGGAGCCAGATAGTGTATTTTCATAGGAGTAGGTGCCAGAGAGGGGTCATCTTTGGCAATGTTAGGCAGACACGATGAATACACGTCCGACCGCTGCGATTTCCCGCCAAAAGTCTGCTGCAACTTGTTGCCTAGCGTGTACTGACCTTTAAGGCTAACTACACTACCAGGTTCTACATTCCCTACTCTTAATGAACAGCAGTGTGGGTTCCTTTTTGTCCCACAAGAATATTTATTACATGTACAGTGGAACCCGGTTAATACAGACACCAAGGGATAAAAAATAATATGGAATAGTGTCTGTATTATCCCGGTGTCCGTACTAAGTGGGCTATTTTTAGAGAAATTATATGAGATGTTTCAGTGTTGGGACAAATGAAACTGTCCATTATGTATGGGTGTCTGTATTAAGCGGGTGTCCTTAGAGCGGTTTTCCAGTGTAGAACTGTGAAAGCACGCGGAGACAGGGCCCATATAGGTTTTGATCCTCATGGGAGAAGGCAAGAATTTCTAACCATATGTTGATGCCAAAACAATGGCAGCGCATTGAATTCCTCATTTATCAGTTCTGGATGTGAAGAGCTGGCCTGGTAAAGAAAAGTCTGTCTGCTGGGTCAAAGAGTGTGCTGTTACGCCGCAAAATGTAATAATTGACGCAAAATGTAACATTAACGCGAAATGTAACAACTTTTGACGCGAAATGTAACATTAACCCGAAATGTAACAACTTTTGACGCAAAATGTAACAACTTTTTAACGCGAATTGTAACAAGCAAAATGTTACAGCCTTGAAATAACTGAGAGACTTGGACATGAGCCTTGTAGGTAAAGTGTAAATTGTCTGGTGGTTACAAAAACAGTTTATTCATAAAGTTTTCTTATGTCAAATAAACTTACAAAAGGTCGTAAAACAGGTGATAAAGTTACAAGTCATGTATAACCTTGGAATAGCAGTATGGACAATAACAACAACGCTAACTTATTAAACATAACGTATGGAGAATATCCCAAGCTATGCGAAAAGAATATGACTAGAAATGTGAACAATAACACCGTAGAAAACACAACCAATCAGCAACTGAAATGCAAGTTAAAAGTAAAAGTTAAGAAAGGTAATCTTTCAAAAGAAAATTTTTGAACGTAGTCAATAACATAGATATGAAATTTCTCATTTCTTACCGGACTTCCAGTAAATGTGAGAAATTTCATACCAACCCAGTCTTGCTGCCTCAAAACTTAACCATGCCAACGCCCATTTAACATTGTTGATTATCTCACGCAGTCGGATGACTGCTCCGCTACACTTTCCTTTTAGGGAAAAGGGGAGGAGGTGGGTAAAAACAGACAGCGTCGGATAAAAACAGAAAGCGTCTTCACTCGATGAAAGTGTGAAAAGAATGATCAGTAATCGATACTCGCCTCGATTTCATACGGGCTCAACTCCCCAGAGGGAGTATGCTAAAAATGTACCATCCTAACCCATCTAATATGCCCTGGATTATGTAACGCCAACTTTCTTTTAAGCGTCACACACAAGTACAGAAAGATATACTAAACAACAATTCGTTGAACTGTTTCAGGATTTAGTTACTATTATCGAAAAACGTTTTGTAAGTTTATTTGACATTATAAGAAAACTTTATAAATAAACTGTTTTTGTAACCACCAGACAATTTACACTTTATCTACAAGGCTCATGTCCAATCTTCTCAGTTATTTCAAGACTGTAACATTTTGCTTGTTACATTTCGCGTTGAAAATATTGTGTCATTTTGCGCCAAAAGTTGTTACATTTCGGGTTAATGTTACATTTCGCGTCCAAAGTTGTTACATTTCGCGTTAATGTTACATTTTGCGTCAATTGTTACATTTTGCGGCGTAACATGTGCCCTGTCGATGTGGCTAAGGAGTAGCTAAGCTGCAGCCTTTTTTATTAGCCAAACCAGCCTTTTTACTCATTACAACTGCATCTTCTAAATTTCCTTGTGTCTTTGTTTTCCCAGAGTTATTTAAATTGATGGTCGGTTCTTTCTCAGCCAGTGAAATTAGCTGAATGCGGGCTCATTAGCAACATCCCTGCCTTGTGGATAGGTACTAAAATAATGTAGCCATTGTAAAGAGATGGCAGTTTGACAGCGTGATAATTTTATTGTTATAACAGAACTTTTTAATCTATTCACCTGTAGTAATGTGGGTATAACAAGTGAAGTGCATGCTGTTTTTCATCTTAGGTAGAGAATGAGTATGGAAGTTATTACACTTGTGACCATGAGTACATGACACACCTGCAAACATTGTTTGAGCAGTACCTTGGTAAAGATGTGATCCTTTACACCACTGATGGCTCCAATGACAGGAAGATTAATTGTGGTTCACTACCTACACTTTTTACCACTGTTGACTTTGGAGCAGGTAAAGAAAGTAAAGCTGAATTAGATGGCGTTTTATCAAGACTGTGCTCTAGAAGAACGTGTAAAATCTTAAGTGCCCAACATATGATACATGTATGTGCGAAAAAAAACTTAGATTATTCTTTTTTTCTTAATAATTCTCATAACAACTGTACTGAGTTTTACGAATAGTCTTTCACGCACTAGCCTTTTTAGCCTTAAGACAAGTTTCGTTTATTCAAACCTCTTCAGTTTGGCTAAAACTGTTATAATGTGAATGAATGTGACTGGGGTTTACCACAGTGACGCTATGCTTAGGCAAATAACTGAATCCATCAAAATCAGACGAGAAGGCCATAACGGGGTAATCCCAGACTATGTGATGAATGAGTCTGGGGTTTACCACGGTGACGCTATGCTTAGTCAAATAACTGAATCCATCAAAATCAGACGAGAAGGATCTATAAATAACAAAACAGAATGGAACTCTGTAACATTGCCGCAAGCGGCAATAGTGTAATTGATGGATTGTGATTTTAAGCAGTTGTGCGCGCCTTCTTGCACGCGCTTGAGGGTTAGCGTACACGTTTGCTTGTTTGAATGTGACAACGTATTGTAACAGTTTTAGCCAAACTGAAGAGGTTTGAATAAACGAAACTTGTCTTAAGGCTAAAATAAAGGCTAGTGCGTGAAAGACTATTCGTAAAACTCAGTACAGTTGTTATGAGAATTATTTCCAAGTCTTTTGAGGTTTCAGCAAGAAAAATTACCCAGATATTCTTTTCTTGTTGCCCAAGAACAAACGTTGGGCACCAGGGGTAATGCAGCTCTCCTTGAACTCAACCCTGTTTATGGATGATACAGTGACACCTCAATATATCAAAGGGCCTAGGGACTGGCACAATGTGTTCACCATAACAAGGTTTCGTTATATTCAGGTTATTTTCCATATATTTTACTATTGCTGGGGTAAAGAAAATCATTCATTACATGGAGGACTTCATTATGTCTAAATGTTTGTTATATTGAGGTTCGACTGAAATATCAGGGGTTTCAATAAAAATTGAAATAGCCAGTAGAATTGAATAGAGTAACCGACTGTATCAAAACGGGCATGTTAGTCCCTGATGGGGGAGGGGGCTGGGGTGACCTGCTTTCCCAGAAAATTTTGAAAATTGAAAGCCCGAAAATGAGATTTTCAGCGTTCTGGGGACTAAATTGAGGACAAAAGAGCGTGTTTTTTATTCAAGAAAATCAGTCTCGCTTTCTTTAAACTTCTGATCGATCAGTCACAATCAATTCCTACAAGCAATGAACAAATGATGAAAACTAAATTACGTGCTTTTGCACGTTAACAAATTCTGCGTAAACCTATAAAGAAACCCCTCAAAATTGACTGAAATATAGTGTTTACATGACTCAAGCATAACGTTCTATTTTCCAGGTGGAGATCCTGCTGGTGCTTTTTCTCACCTGCGTAAATACCGACCACATGGTCCTCTGGTAAACTCTGAGTATTACCCAGGCTGGTTAGATCATTGGGGAGGGGGGCATCAAAAGAGACAAGCCTCACAAATTGCCAAGTACCTTGACGAGATCCTTGCACTGAATGCATCTGTTAACCTGTACATGTTTGAAGGTGGCACTAACTTTGGATTCATGAATGGTGAGTGGACATTTTAACAAATTCTAGCCTGTGAGCAAGCTCTCTCGGGCGCCCTGGTGGCAGGACGGGAAGGAGAGCTTGCAACTATGTCTCTGGAATTTGAATTCCGCCTCCAATTCCCCTTTTGCTCCCTGTCGACTCAGACGGACTGAGCTGTCAGATTTCCGCCAATCAGTGCAAAGTAGAAACAAGTGTGAATGTAAACAAACATTGAAAAACACGTGAAAGCTTGTGCCAAAGTTAATGACATCATTACTAATTAAGTCATCTCTACCAATCAGCATTTTCGCATCAACTTTTTCAATGCAAATATGCAAATTCCAGAGACGTAGTTGCAAGCTCTCCTTCCTCCCCGGAGGGCTTGCTTACACACTAAAACAAATTTAATTCTTCTAAATTTAAACTTGTGAATCATTAACAACTTCCTGTATTACAGCAAGGAGACCAAAAGTGTGACCGCTTTTGAATTATTCACATTCTTTCAAACAGATTTAATCCAATCAGAAGCCAGCTGGAAACTGTTCTCGACTTCTGATTGGTTAATGTCTGCACGAAAGAATGACAGTTAATTAAAGGAGGTCACACTTTTGTGCTCCTTACTGTAGCCAGACAATCC